TCTACCCTCCCCTTCCCCCCAGACCCCAAGGAAACACAGGATATCCCGTTGTCTCAGGAGCATCCCTGTCTCGGAGTCCGAGCTGTCCAGATGCTCTGAGTATATCTGTGTGGCTCAGCCACTTATGGGAGTTTGTTACTTGTATACTAGCTTTGAGCCAGTGACTGCAGACATTTCATCTTAATCTGACAGTTCTACTTCCTCAGCCTCCAAATGGTGCAGTGGGCAAGTGCCATCCCAATAGGCAGCAACATTTTGAGAGCAATAAGTGATGGCATACTATGCACACTTTCTCTTCAGCCTTTCTGTGGGGAGGATGGACATGTGACCTTCCCATGGTCTTCATGTCAGGGCCTAGGGAGAAGGCTGTCATCCATTAACCATAAAAGGATGGAGCTCAACTTTTCAGGCTCTAGCAGACCAGCTCCCCAACAGAACAGAATTAAGAGGAGCAGTGGTTGGAACTGGACAGAACAATGGTGAACATGTGTCCACTTGCATACTCATGGAAGGTTCCCCATGCTGCTTGGTAGATTGGCCTTGAGACTAAGAAACAGTGATTGGAATGGGGTAAACTGTGGTTTCCATCAACACCAGAGCAGTGACTCTGGCTCTGACTTGAGTCTTGTGTTGAGGGAGACTGGCTTCTTATGCCTCAGTCTGAAAGCATATTCTTTCCTGCATGCTTCTCAAGAAGCCTGCAAACTGAAGGGTCATGGGAATGTGCCCCCAGGTCCCGGCCACACCCCTGGCAGTGCATGTGTTGCTGAGGGATGAGGCCTTGGCCTCTCTGCTCTAGAGAGCCTGCCCATGGAGCTCTTTCCCATCACTGTTCAAGGATACCTCCCCTGGAAAACAAACCACCATCCTGAGAGAGATGATGGCAGCCTGGCCTCAGCGTGGAGCCTTTAAAGAAGGCAGCCTGGCTACCTGCAGACTTTCAAACTGCTGGCGGACTGGATGTGCGGCTCACCCAGAAGATGCATGTCTGCAGGAAGAGCCACATGTGCAGGAATGCAGCCAAGGGGAAAATGCAGCCAGAAAAGAACGGGATTCAAAGTGGATCAGCGCTATCAGGTGGTCCTAGCCTGGATGATTAGGGGCCTCCGCCTTTGGTGAACCGCCTGGAAAAAGACTTTCACGAGTAGGGAACAGATGAGAAGAGACAAAGCAGAGGAAAGTCATTCACTGTCTGTGCCTCTACCACAAAAACAACGGGCTGGACTGAAGGGGAACAGGATGAGAGAAGTCCGACTTCAGATGCTATTCTAGTATCTGTATGAGGCCCTGGGTTTGATCCTGGCCAGTTAAAAAATAAATAAAAATTTATAAGACAGAACAGAGAAGAAGACAGTTAACATTTTAAATGTGGAGGGAAAGAAGACTATGTTGGGTCTTTTATTTTTCTGGTTTTTTGAGACAGGGTTTCTCTGTGTAGCCTTGGCTGTCCTGGCCTCACTTTGAAGCCAGGCTGGCCTCGAGCTCACAGAGATCTGCCTGCCACTGCCTCCCTGAGTACTTGGATTACAGGTGTGCGCCACCGAACCCAGCCTATGTTGGGTCTTGTCTTCTGAGATTTCTACCAGTTTACTCATAGGAGAGGGAAACTGGCCATGCTTGATTTGGTGAAAGTGCACCAGAACTTCTGAAATGTCTCAGCTAGAGCCCTGGACAGTGCTTGCTCAGCACAAGTCATCAATGAGAAGTAAACACTTAGGCACTGTCAGACATCTGGGGTGAAGCAGGTGTTGGCTCATTTTTACTTCTCAGAGAACCATTTCGAGGAACATGATAAACGCTTGTTGCAGTGTGCACAGCACAGAAGTTCAGTAAGCTGTGCTGCCAGCTGCTTCAGATCTGGGCATCGCCCATCACCACTGTCCTAGAGATTCTAAGCATCTTAGACCCAGTGTTTCTTCAGGAATTGGAACTAGGCAGGCATGTGGTGCAGTCAGTCAGACCTCACTGACAGACCTCACTGGGCCAGATGAGAAATCTCTGCAATTCTGATCTATCAGGGATCAGCACAATGTCATCAGTGACAGAGACCTCTCCAGAGATAGAGTCTGCCGTTGTCCACTTCTCAAACTCATTGGACATTCTCCAAATTCAGCTGTTTTGGAGCATCTTTCTCAGTGGCATCCGTCTTCATTAGGTTTGCTATTGCTTCAATAAAACACCGTGACCAAAGCAACTTGGAGAGGAAAGGGTTTAATTGGCTTACACCTCCATATCATTGTTCATCATAGGAGGAAGTCAGGGCAGGAACCCAAAGAGGGCAGGAATCTGGAGGCAGTAGCCAGCAGCGCAGAAGCCATAGAGAGGTTCTGTTTACTAGCTTGATTGATCTTCATGGCTTACTCAGCCTACTTTCTTATAGAACCCCGGACCACCAGCCCAGAGATGGTACCAACTACAATGGGCTGGAATCTCCCCCCCCCACACACACACACCCATAAGACACTAATTATGAAAATGCCCTACTGACTTGCCTACAGCTGAATCTTGAGGCATTTTTCTCAATTGAGGCTCCCTCCTCTCAGATGACTCTAGCTTGTACCAAGTTGACATAAATCTAACCAGGACACCACCTTAGTTGTTCGGGTAAGGGCAGAAAGCTGTTCCTGCTACCACAACAAAGTGTTCTCTTCCACTCTCCCTAAGTTGAGATCTTAATGACCACTCAGGAAGCAGAGGGCTTGACTGGGGTAGGTGGTGTGTACCAAGCTATCACTCTACAGGCTAGCTGGCTGGGTAAGAGCGGTACAGGGTGGGTTGTGAGCTAAGGGTCTGGAAACAGGTATTAAGGCACTGAAGGGGTGAGGACTCCCGCCTTGAACATTCCCCTGTGAGCTTTATGCTCAGATCTGTGTGAACAGGACCTTTCCCAGCTATGGGTGAAAGCCGGTTCTGAGGAGGAGTGGAGTAAACGGGAAGGTGAGAGGAAGAGGGAGAGCATCTGAACAGACATGGGCTCTGTTGGTACAGGGAACCAGTGAGTTAGGTCAGTGAGTTCAGCAGCTCCCCATCCCAAAGATGCAGTTAGGGACAGTCTTGACATTTATCCCAGAGGGCCTCTTTCAGGTTTCTTTTATTCCATGTGAATCCCTGTTACGCTTGGTAGTGGTAGGGTCTTTTATCCAATGGTCTATCTCACCTACTTTTTTTTACTGATCCCCTTGAACTGCAGTTAGAGAAAGTTGTGAATGTTGGGAATGGAATCCAGGTTCTCTGCAAGCACACCTCATGCGCCTAACTAAGCCATCTCTCCAGTTCTCACCTATATTTTTTAACACATATACAAATGAAGAAAAACAGAGGGTGTGAAACAAAATTCTTTATTGCTACCTCATATGTAAATGAATAGGCTGAGGTACTTATTAACAGTTTACCTGAAACAGCTCACTCATGGACACTTATAATACAGTTCTTAAGATCTATCAATCCTTTAGGGGACAAGGACAATTGTCCAGAGACATCTAGTAGCGATCTTATGTTCTGGGGAACATAAGAGGCTGGAAGCCCTGAAGAATAGGGTCCCACAGCCATTTGCCCTACAAGCTGGAGTGGTGGAATACTTCAGTAATCTTAGCATTTAGGAGGTGGAGGCAGGAGGATTTCAAGGCCACCTTGGGCAATATACGACTATAAAAAGAGAGAAATAAGTATTAAGTAATAAAGCTATGTGACTTAGACTCTATTCCCTTTGCTGTATTATCTTTGATTTTGCTTCAGTCATCTTTGGTACCTCCTAGTCAAAGAGTGCTAGATTGAATGCCTCTACCATTCCCCAAATCCTCCACAGGAGAGTGCATTGCTGATTGTAAGTTGAAATTTTTGTACACATACAGCACAGAGCGTTCACATAAAAGGGATGTAACAGATGCCCAGGCAGAAGTAAAACAGGAAAGAAAACATCTGACTGCCTTCACTGTACTTTGATACTTACTGTATTATTATTCAGGAGTCTTTAAAGGCTAAAGGACCAGAACTGATCACTCTCTATGTATTAGAAACAAGTTTATTAGGCTGGCTAACAGGCTGTGGTCTAGATAGTCTGATAACACCTGACTCAATGAAAAGGCCAAGGATCTAGGAGTTGATCCTCCACAAAGCCGGATGTCTCTGCAGTACCAATCTGGTGATCTGCTGGTTTTCAGTATACGTTAAAATCTGAAAGGAAATTAATAATGGCCAAAGCAGCAGGATAGACAAACTCCCATCTTCCCTATTTTTTACATATGCTCCCGAGAGAAGGCATGGCCCTGACTTAGGGGGTGTTTCTTCAAATAATCTGATGTAGCAAATAGCCAGCAGCTTGAGTCCTAGTCGACGACAGCTGTAGTCAAGCTGACCACCAGGTTTGCCACCACAGATGTCTATAGAAATCTCGGACAAGACATCAAACACCACAGGGACTTTCCAGCTCAACCGTCACAGGAAAATAGTGAAACTGAAACCAGGATAACACCAGGATAACGAGCATCCACGTTCCAGGATATGGCTCTTACTTTACAACTACCATATAAGAAGGAGAGTCATTCACTGTCATGTCCTGGCAGAACTCATTTATTTGGAAAATGCAGAATTAGGGTTGGAGAGATGGCTCAGCAGCCAATAGCACTCGTTCTTGTAGAGGACCTCGGCATTTCACAGCCAGCTATAACTCTCGTTTCAGGAGATCCCATGCCCACATCTGACCTCCACAGGCACCAAGAATACATATATGCAGGTAAAACACTCAGACATAAAATAAATAAATCTTAAAGGAAAAGAAATGAACACAAAGAAATGCAGATTGTCTTTTTAACTCCATAAACTTTTGCCCTCACAGTTCCGTTTTTCTCCATGTCAACCTCAGTTCTTGTGGTCTAGCCCTACTGTGCACCATTTTGGATCCCAAACACTGAGCAGTAGGTGGCCATATGCTTTGGGTTCCTATGATGAAAGACCTATTGCTAGGCTTCCACTTCTCAGTATCAAAAAGCAACCTGCCCTATTTACTGCTGACAACGGCAGAGTCTGGTCTCCAGGTCATAGACGCAGCGCTGGTAACATTCATGACAGATATATGTAGCAAAGGAGACTGTCTTGGGCTGCCTTACAGTAATGAGTGTACCCATGAGCTCAGAACAAAGTTGGGCAAATTGTCCCGTGAGTACATCACCCCTGTCATCATAGCACTCCAGAGGAGCGGGGTACAACTCCTGGGTCAACTGGCTCAGACTGGCTGTGTGATACAAAAGGTCCTTCAGAACAGCCATGGAGATGTCATTGTCATAAAAATTGATCCTGGTGAGCTGGGAGCACTGGCTCAGGGCAGGCAGGAGGGTAATGAGTTGGGAGTCCACCATCCAGCAGCCTTCCAACTCTAAGGTCTCCAGAGTGTCTGCAACACTCTTTAGGAGATCATGGAAAGGCACAGGATATAAGTCTATTAATTTCACAAGTCTCAGGTTCAGGTGTTTGAGCTGATGGAGGTTCTGACTCTCGGACAAGGAAGTCAAGTCTAAATGTGAAAGCTTGCACATAGTGATGGACAGGCTCTCCAAAGGGGTCTTCAGGTACCTAGGGAGCGACAGAGAGATGGAGAGATTTGGTGTTAAGGTTGGCATAAAGGTAAAGGTGACTGCTGTCTTCCGGTCATGGGCCTATATGATAATGATCAATATCCAGGATGCTGCTATTGGAGTCTCACTATTCTTGGCGAAGAGAGGCCTGCCAGTATCAGTATGTGACTTACCCAGTCCATGGGTCTGCAGCTTCCACCACTATCAAGGAGAGAAGCTGTGCTGGACACACCAGCCTAGGGCACAAACAGTAAGAACTAACCCATGAAAGATCTAGGAAAGTCTTCAGCTGTCTTTTGCATAGCTCAGTGACACTCTGCCCCCAGTAGTCTCTGTCCTTATTTATAGTTCTTCACCCCCTGCCACTCCCCCACTCATTTCTAGCCAGCTCCTACCTGGGCTCAAAACAGCCTTTCACATGTGGGTATTTAAAAGGTACAGAACTGCTAAGCACACAGTTCCCCCCAGAGACTTGTGCAGGTGTGGGTCCTCTCCAGTTCTGGGCCCTCTGTTCTGACCTATTCCCTTCCCTTTATCTCAGACAGAATCCCAAGGACTCACAGCACACACTTACCACATCCGACCTACTCAGTGGCTTTTCTAGTAAGGCCACTCTCTACACCTCTCCTAGCCCAGCTCGGTCTCGGCTTAATGAGCAGCCATTGAATAAACTGAGCTTTTGACTCAGTTAAAATGGAAACAAGACCCTACTCAGATGCTGTAATGAGTGCATCATTGTATCATTGTGAAACCCACAGTGGCTGACAGACCTCAGCTGCTCACTAATCTCTAATGTAAGAGGAAGGTTTGCTCTCTATCCTTCCTTACCTGAACAACTGTTTCATGTGCTCACTGGAAAAGTAGATGCCATTCATGGAAAGATACTGGAGAGAGTTGAGTTTGGAGAACTGAGAAACAAACTTGGTGATACACTTCCGTATGTCCAAGGAGGTATTTAGAACCCTGAAGGTGTTCTTGTGGATCCGTGTTAAAAGGAGTTTTTGAAGATTTCTCATCCGGTCCAGGTAAGATGCAAAATTCACCAGTGTGGACAGACTCCAACCTGTATTCAGCTCCAACTCCTGGACGCTGTCTGGCTGAAAAACCGTCAAGACTTTCCTGACAGTGTATACAGGCAACGCCCAAATCTGCAGCTTCACACAGCACAGCCATATAGACCTTCTTCTCTGCTGGGCCCACTGTAACAAGTATGTTTGGTGTTCATTCAGATGGAACCTGAGGCAAAGATCAGTGACCACCTTCAAGCGTCGCCTCACTGCGTATCTGGGAAGGCGCTTTCCTTTTTGCTTTTCACACACAGTCTCTGCTGAGCAGTCTCCATCCTCTGGTCCAGCCCATACATCCCAGAAATCATGGTGCACATTCCTCAGGTCCAGCACTTGAAGCTTCCGTCTCCTGTGAGTTAAACAGGTAGAAATGTCAGAAGACATAAACACCAAACACTAGCTAGCTTTTCTCTAGTGAGAATTTTAGTTTTCCTTAAAAACCCAGTTACGTTATGCGAATATGTTTTTGTTTTAATCCCAGGTGTGGGAAAGGAGGCTGCAGGTGATTGTGACTCGCCTCGTGCACCAGCAGGGAAATTATTTTTGCCAACTGCAGATAGTTTACATTTGGAACTCTGGGGACTCTTGAGAGGGCATAAATGCCAGAGCCCCGAGAGGGCTGGGGGCACTCTGACAAAGGAAGCTGCTGCTCTCCCTGCTGCTTCTAGTTACTGTTGTTGTGGTTTGACAACAAGAAGTTGGGCCCCTAGGAACCAGATAATCCTAATCAGCAGGAAGTAGTCTGAAAAGGTCTAAGTCCCCTTTCCCTGCTAATCTTCATTCTCACCTACCTGGTGCTGGGGAGCTGAAAGGGACTAGGGGAGAGAAGGATAGCAGATATAAGCATACAAATAAGACAGCTAAAAAAATATATGCCTACACTTTTCCTCTGTATCTCTGATGCTGCCTGTTCCCTGCTGTCTTATGTAAGCTTGTGTTTTTTCAGTGCTGGGTCTCCACACAGCACTTCATGCCCCTCAGGCAAGGACTTTTTGTCTGATCTACATCTGGAGACCTACCTGCCCTGCTTTCCTTTCTCTTTACTTCTGTCTCTTCCACTCCTAGTACTTCTCCAAAAGCCAGGAAAACTGTTATTCCACTGTGGCTACAGCTGCTTTAAGTTGTACTCCGTATCAAACTGTCCTTTATAATGTGGCTCAACAGGGATCTAGGACTCTGCAATCTTCCAAGATGAAACCATCAGAAGCTTCTGATCTACCTTACTTGAGCTGTCTCTTCCCTGTATTCCAATGTCCCTTACCTGGGTCTTGTTTACCTGGGGAGAACCTTTGGTGTCCACAGCATGTCGACTCCATCCAGCACAGCCTGCAAGATCTCCAGGTGGGGAGTCTTCATCAGGGTCCCCAGAGGGAGAAAGGGGAAAGGCCAGACTGCCACCATAGCTCGCAGGACATTAGTTTGTCTGTGGTAGAAGGCTTCCTTGAACAGTGGTGGGAATAGCATTCTAGGCAGGTACTGCAAAGAAGAGATGGCCAGGGCCTCATCCCTCAGCAGCCTCTGCACTGCCAGCTGCAGGAGTGTGGGTGGGTCCTGGACATTCATCCTTCAGATCTTCAGTCTGAAGGAACCTGGTGATACATACAGGAGGCTATGTCTTAAGAAACCCTACTTCTCCCCTGTCTTACTGCTCTATTACTGTGATGACACCACGATGAAGGCAATTTGAGGTATTTAACTGTTGGCTTGATTACAGTTTTAGGGGGTTAATCCATCGTCTTCACAGTAGGTAGACATGGGCACTAGAGCAGTAGCTGAGAGTTTATACCATCCACAGGCACACAGCAAAGAGGGTCCTGCATGGACTTCGGAAACCCCAAAAGCCACCCCTAGTGACATTCTCCAACAAGGCCACATCTCCTAATCCAAAACAGTCCACCAACTGGGAACCAATCAAATGTATGAACATCACATGACCATACCTTCCCAACTGTCCCATCTAAATTCAGTTCCTACTGGGAAAGGGTACCCAGGAACCTAAGAGCTGAACCCTATCCTTTTACAGCAACAAGGACACTGATCAGCTCCCAAGATGCTTATAGGAAGGCCATGGGACTGTTTCATGCCTAACTTCCCATATTCTGCTTGTTTTAATAGTTTTTTTATGTGCATTGGTATTTCACCTATATGTGTATCTATGTGAGAGTGTCAGATCCCAGAGTTATAGGCATTTCTGAGCTGCCATATGGGCTGGGAATTGAACCCAGATCCTCTACAAGAGCAGTCAGTACTCTTAGCCACTTCTTTATTTTTTAAGATTTACTTATATATTATGTATACAGTGTTCTGCCTGCATGTGTGCCTGCATGCCAGAAGAGGGCACCAAATATCAGTATAGACGGTTGTGAGCCACCATGTGGTTGCTGGGAATTGAACTCAGGAACTTCGGAAAAGCAGCCAGTGATCTTAACCTCTGAGACATCTCTCCAGCCCGCTACTTCTAATTTTCTTTTAGATTTGTTTATTTGACTTTATGCCTGCATGCATGTATGTGTACACCTGTGTGACTGTTGAATACCATGGAACTGCTGTTATGTTACCGATGGTCATGAGCCATCATGCAGGTGCTAGGTCCTCCACAAGAGCAATTAGGTGCTCTAAACTTCTGAGTCATCTTTCCAGTCCCCCATATTTTGCTTTTGATAAACTGTGCCTGCCTGAGAAAGACTGAAGAGGGTCTATGAAATGTAGGTTATCATTATTTGTTACTTTTAAAGCTTTAGAGCCTGATGTGGAGTTCCCAGCTACATCATACTAGAGACTGAGGCAGGAGGTCGCTAAACTCATGCCAACCTGACAGTGTCTCCCATGCAAAACAAGCTTTCACATGCAGTTCTCAAGCCATGTATGTACCTATATGTCTACAGGGTGCACAGGAGAAAGCGACTTTAAGATGAAGGCAATGATGCACAGATTACACAGATGAGAATTTCCCATGTTGAATTAAGAGTCTAGCTAAAGAAATAGATGAGAAAAGGAAAAACTTCCAACTATACTTTTAACTTCTTTTTTTACTTTTTGAAATATGGTTGCTCGTGGGCTGCGAAGCCAGAGCTGCTTTTGATGGGGCTCACTACGTAGCTCAGGCTTGACCACAAACTTACCATCTACCTGCTTATCTTTAGGAGTAAATTGTGTGCTTTGGCTACAGTGACAGGATAGTGGACTCTACTTTGAAAATATTGCACTGATGCCGGCCATGGTAACAAGATCCTCCCCAGCACAAGGAACTGGGGATATGGCTTAGCAGTTAAGCCATGGCTTTGGGAGGGAAGGGGGACAGTCTTTGAGGCAGAGGCAGGCAGATCTCTGAGTTCCAGGCTGGCATGGTCCAGGACAACCAGGACACCATTACACAGAGAAATGCTGTCTTGAAACAAAGGAGTACTGGCTGCTCTTCCAAGGACACATGTTTGGTTCCCAGCACCCATATGGTGGTTCACAACCATCTGTAACTTCAGTACCAGGAGTTCTGCCTTCTTCTAGCCTCCATGGTCATCAGGCAAATACATGGTGCACAGACATACATGCAAGCAAAAGACCCATAAAAATTTTAAAAGAAATTAAAAAACAGCAAAAATAATTTTGAGGCAAGGCTGTTTGGTATTGGAGTTTGAGCCTAAGGCATGGCCCATGCTAGACAAGCATTCCACCAGTAAGCTGCATTCCCAACTCATTCATTTCATTTCATGTAGGGACAAGGTCACTTTATTTATGCTAGACTGGAACTGGAGATCATTCTCCATTATGTTCCTAGTGCTATGATTCCAGGAGTGTGCTAGCAGCCCACCTGGTTTCTTTTTATTTTAACCTGAGACAAGGTCTTGTCAAATTAGCCAGGCTGAACCAAACCAACTACATTCCCAGAAGCCATGGAACTTGGGTCCTGTTATCAAACCTCATCCCCAGTTCTGTTTTTAAAATATGGTTTAAAAGAAGTATCAAGCCAGGCAGTGGTGGCACACACCTTTAATCAGAGCAACTGGGAGGCACAGTTTGAGGTGAGCCTGCTCTACAGAGCTAGTTACAGGACGGCCTGGGCTACACAAAGAAACCCTGTCTCCAAAAAAAAAAAAAAAAAAAAAAAGAAATGTCAACTTACATTTCAAATTTCAAAACAGTAACTTATGAAGTATAATTCAATGGATTACAAATAATTAATCAAATGTAGAGTTGGAAAGTCAGGAGTTCAAGACCAGCTTAGGCATAATGAGACTCTGTCTTTAAGAAATTTTAAAGTCAGTAGGTTCTGGGTTCCATCCTCCACTACATAAACCTGGTATGATGTCAAATATGTTAATATGTTAAAAATAATGTTAAAATCCCAACCCTAGTCAGGCTTGGTGGTGCACACCTGTAATCCCAGTACTAGGGGAGGCAGAGGCAAGTGGATCTCTGCGAGTTTGAGGCCAGCCTGGTCTACAAAGCAAGTCCAGGACAGCCAAGGCTACAGAGAAACTGTGTCTCAACAAAACAAAACAAAATCCCAACACTAGCTGGGCATGATAGTGCATGCATTAAATCCCAACACCCAAAAAGGAAGAAGAAGCAAGTGGATCTCTGAGTTCCAGGGCAGCCAGAGCTACAAAGAGAAACCCTGTCATGAAAACACAAAAAAAAAATAAATAAAATACAAACACTTCTTGGGAGATGAATAACAGGAGTTCAAGGCCAGCCTTAGTTATATAGGGACCTCAAGACCATCCTTGGCTTTTGACTATGTTAAGACTTTATTGCAAATAAAAACTTTATATAAGTTCTACTTCAACCTGTTCTACAATGTGACCCTGCGTTTAAAAAGAAAAACAAATTTTTAGGATTTATTATGTCTACATGTGACCCTGTCTTTAAAAAGAAAAAGAATTTTTTTCGTATGTTTTGCCTGCATGAGTGCCTGCTGGCCAGAGGAGGGCACCAGTTCTGAGCCACCATGTGGTTGCTGGGAATTGAACTCAGGACCATTTGGAAGAACAGACAGTGCTCTTAACCTCTGAGCCATCTCTGCGGCCAGAAAAACAAATTTTAAAATAAGCATTAAGTAATAAAAATCAGGCTTTTAATTCCAACAGTCAGGAGAGTGAAGCAGTCTGAAACCACTCTGGCGTAGACACTGTGACCATACCTGAAAAATCAAAGAAAATAAAATTCTCCCCTAAAAATAAATTTTAAATTAACACAAAACTAGGCATAATTCTAGATATTCTAGTAACTCCCACCTTGTAGTTCCAGCATCGAGAGACAGAAGCAGAATTGCTAGGAGTTTGAAGACATTCTAGACTAGAGTGCAATCTTGTAAATAATAATAACTTGATTATTATTAATAATATTATAAACCAAATCTTGGTGGAACACACTGGTAATCAGAGGCTGTGGCAGGAGGGGTGGGGCTGTCTTGATTTCTGGCCCAATCTGAGTTACATTCTAGGAGAGCTGGGGCAAAGAAAGGCCGTGTCTCAACAAATTAAGATGGAAAGACATTTAGGATGACGGCAAACTTCATTATTAAAAACCCAAGGCCTGCAATCTGTTCCTGTGGAGAGAAGGAATTGGGGTTCCCTTGGTATCTTCAGTCAAGCACCCCTGAATCAAACTGTGCCCTGATGGAGGTGATTGACTTACCAAAACCAAGAACTGATTGCAGAACTGAGAATCCCAGCAGGACCTAGCAGGCACTCCGGGCTCGGGCTCCAAGGCGGTGAGTATCTTCTCTCGCTTGGCCAAGGTTTTTTTCATCCATCTTTACCTCATACTTCCGGCCTGAGGCATTTATTCCTACACTCGCACTTCCGGCCCGACGCTTCCCCGCCCCCACCCTCCGTGTCGCCTCACACGTCCGGTCTGTAGGCCTGCCCGTCAACCACAAGCTGTCATCTGAATGGATGACTGGGTCTCCGCCTTGTCTGGGCTTTTGCTGTCTCTGGATGGAGCGACCGCAAGTTCACGGTGAGAAAGGCGGGGCGGGGCAGGAAAGGCGGCGCGGAGAGGCGGGCGCAGGCCTGCGGATGCCAGCCGCCCGGAGGCAGAGGCAGGCGCGTCTCCGCCGAGTTCAGAAGCGAGTCCTCTGAGAGCACAAAAAACAAAAACAGGGAAAGCCTCGGGGAAATGGTTCACGCCTTTAATCCCAGAGCTCCGGAGGCGATGCAGGAGGCCTCCTGCCTGCTCTACGTAGAGTTCAGATACAGCCAGCACTAGTAGACCGTGAGACCGTGCCTCAACAACACAAACAGAAAAAAAAACAAAAATACCTGAGACTCCAGGAAAGTCAAAAGCCCGTTCATGGATTCTTCACTCTTCACCCATTCTTCACTTAGTTTGATGTATATAATTTGTTTTACTTATTTGCTTATGTATGCACCTCGTTTTACATTTGTTTCTTGAATGTAAAACAAATGAATAAAATAAAAAGGAAAGGGCATGGCTGCACCTAGGTATAGTGGAAGAGAAGGTTGACAGTATGTTAAATAGGTACCTGAGCCATTTGTTCCAGGGTTTGAGACTTAACACTTCTGAGACGCGGATCTTGCGCTACAGCTAAGGCTGATTTG